GGTTGCAATTGTATGGGGAATATAAAAAAAATTATTTAAAAAAAAAGAATGCCTAAAATAAAAAAGACTAATCATACCAAGAAAAAAAAAATTTAAATATTAAATAAAAGTAAATAACATTTAAATACTAAAAAAAAAAGAAAGTATTATATAGCAAATGACCCCCTATATCAGTAACATATAGTAAGACAAATTTATTTTTATTGTGTGCACCATTTTTCAAGATGATTGACAATCAAGATCATTACTGCTCCGTATGACTCTTATTTGGGGACTAGCAACTAATTTTAACATGTGCTTCTCATAGTATTGGCAATAGTCCAAGAAGAAAATAAGAAATTATTATCCCATATTCTAGCCTTGGTTGATACCAAAACACTCTCACTTCCTCCTCCTAAATTTACTGGCCAATGCACATTGTATGAACAAAACTCATTATCAATGAGATTTGGACATATATTCTGTCCACTGGAACCAGTAGTTTTTATTGAACTCAATAGCATGAGTTCAACAAGGAAGAAGAATTGTGGGACTATAATAAACATATCACAGACAACCATTCACAATTTCAAGAAGCTTAATTAATCCCAGTAAAATGAATGAATATATAAAGCATTCTTTTACCTAGTGTTTTTATAGCATACATTTTTTCATCTTCCAAATTTTAGTTCTTCTGTATATTATTACAGAGATAACGCTCCTAAATAGTTCACAATTTTGTCTTTTATCTAGTCTGATTTTTTTCTTTTAACTTAAACACTTTTAGTACACTTATATTAAAACTAATTACTTTTCTGTATAGGTATCTTCTAAGAACTAATCTAAGTATCTAGAACTAATGGTTATCTAGAACTAATTACTATATACTCAATAATGAATATATACTAAGCAACTATTAGCAACCAATTGCATGTACCTCGTTAAAGTTTTTTAAAGAAGTCATCAGTCATTAATAGAAGATTTTTAGATGCTTAATAATCTTCCCTCTCCCCTCACCCCAAATATGTGTAGAACAGGAAATTTCTAGGTCAATAGAGAGATCTGACTTCCTTTACTGACCCAACTGTGGGTCAACTTTGCAAAAGGATTCTATCAAGGAATGAAAAATAAAACATGTACCTCTTTGATTGAAAAATCATTCACTTTACACTCTTTGTGCAGAAAAAAATATATAATGATCTTACTTTGTAGAAGTGATTTTATCTCCTTATCACCTTCATCTAGTGATTACTTGCGATGTAAGGTTGGGAGAATTAAATACAAGTAAATTTAGCTAACAGAATATTTAATAATTTGAAGATTTTCTTTAGATTTAGCTCAATCATTTTGGACTAACAGCTTAGAACTCTCAGATTCCTTCTCTGAGGTATAAAGAAGAGATACTTATTTGCTTGTCACAAGAATAGTAAAAGCCCCTAGTTGTATACTGATGATTAGGTATAACCTGCCTTTCTTGGTTTTCTCAGACCTGGGGTTTCCATTTGCCCTGACTTGTGCAGCTTGGACATTTGTTAGTTTTTTACACCTCTCTGAATCTTTGCCCCATCCTTCAGTGTCCTCTCACTGTCTAATTTCTTGCTTTGGCCAAAAATTTCCAGACTCCATGACACATCTGCTGACTCTCATTTGGCATAAGTGAGCCTTATAAGATGAATAGACTTTTTCCTTACTTGACTACACCGTTCCTCCCTTTTAGATATACTGGCAAGGACTCTGTTAACATGAAATCATCGCATAGATAAGTTACTTCTCCAGAAACCTCATTCCTTTTCCTTTGATATTCTCCTCAGCTTATCTAACACATTTTTTAGATTCCAGGCCAATGTCCAGAGAAGGGAGTTTTGGATCCATCCAAAACTCACCCACCAGTTATCCCTCATTGTTTTATCTTAATTCCTCAGGTGGGAATTTGCTGGCTACCTTCCACGATTCTCTCTGATTTCCAAAATTCACCTCTTCTCTCTAATTCCCTGAAAGTGAAACAACAGTTGAGGTAAAGGAAGAGAAAAACTTGCTTCCAGTAAAGTAGTGTAAATTGGGATTGTTTAAAAATATAATTCTTGTTACTTCTTGTTCACAAGAAGTAAAGTAAATGACATCTTGGTGAAATTCAGCCAATATCCTTCATGAAGGTCTCTTGTTCTATTCTTTCTTATTTGTCTCCTGTGTTCACTGCCTTTTCATTTAGAGGAATAGTCTTCTACCAATCCAATGAATGCCACTGTCCCTGTTTTTGTCCTTAGGCCCCTTCTTTCTATTCTCATTCCTTAATCTCTCTCTAGATAATCTCCATCACTTAGGTGACTTCAATAGAACATTTTACCTTACAGTAAAAGTGGGAAGAGATATTTGTGTTATTTTCCTATCTCTACTTTTCCAATTAGATACCAGCATGTGACTGAAGTAAGTGCATATTCTGACATAACTGAGAAATCCTTGAGATGGTTCCGTTTGCTTCAAATGTAAGTGGGAATTCAATGCAAACACAATGCAACCTACTCATATATTCAGTGTTATGAGGAAATTTTCTTTTTGGCTAATGTAGGAAATTTCCATATAATAGCAGGGCTTTTAGATTTAAAAAATAACTTCTTATTCTAGAACTTTGAGCTTGACATTCCTTCAATATGTAAAACTGCATGATTTATAGCTACACATGGATGAACCACCCATGATTTCAAATGACATAGAAAAATTGAATCCATCATTCCACATTTTATCATCTTATCTGAAAGAGAAAGAATGGCAAGTAAACAATTGTTAAAAATACATTTTTTTTTTCATTTTCACAACTATTGAAAGCTCAGAACTACTTATAGGTACAATTTAAGAATAAAACAAAACAGCCAGTTTTGACATAACAAAACCCAGTACTGATATAGCACTTTAAAAAGTGGATGTGAAAAAAAAAAAGATGTTTTAAAAATGAAAAAATAAAAAAAATGAATGTTTTCAAAGTAATTGTTAACTAGATCAGAGATTCTTTAACAATGAAGTGTGTATGTTGTGAATCTACTCCTTTGACCTTTAGCCCCTTGCTTTTCAAAGGAAATGAACTAACTAATAATTTTAAAAAATCAAAGTCATTCATTAATTACAAAGAAATGGCATTTTTGTTTTGCATGATAACTAAATTAAAAATTAATTAAAAGACTGAAAATGATGGAACCTTCCCCCTACTCATAAATATTTATGTTTTTAAATAATTGATGTTGTTAATTTTCTCAAGTGTGACAGAAATTTCAATATTTTCAATAACATAGTCTCAGCACAGAAAAGAGGTACATATGGGCTAATGGTCATGGTTCCTGTTTTATCATTAGTGCGTATCAATGCACACATAGGAATATGGCTATACTACATATATATAAAGCCAATAACCAAGAAAATAACTCAAAGAAAATATTTAAAATTTTAGAACATCTTTCTCTCTTAAGATCTCAACATTCAATATTTTTTCAGAAACAATCTGATAATGAAGGAGATACTTTATTAAAGATATGGAAAGTGTTCATATAATAAAAAGGATACTTTCAGCACTTCCAAGTGTGAAATTTGATGCATGATCACAAAATAATTTCATTCTAAAGTTCTAAGAATTAATTGAAATAATCATAAATGAGAAATACCACATGTCTACTCATGAGAAATACATGATATATATTAGGTCAATTTCTTGGCTATTTACTCTTATGTATTGATTTTTCTATATTTGTTGGCAAAATAACATTGGAGTGATATTAAAAATAAATTTTGTACACTTTATTTGTACAAAACATAGTCGAGTTTATGTGCTTTAAGCCGAATACAACAAAAAATTCTTTTTTTCACTTGATTTAAGCATTTGTTTGTTTATCTTTTCTCAGGCAGCTTCTACAAACACAAAACTGCAGTGACCTAACATACTGCAGAACCAGCCTTTGTTTACTTTCCCTCCATTTGACCACCCGCAAGTTGAGTCAGAGATGTACTTTACATTTTCCTATAACCAAAACCACATGGAGGAAATACACTTCGTTGGGCCTCTTTAAAATCATGAAATTAAGCCCTTCTTGGATTCTCTCTCCAGCAAGCAACAGATGATCCTCTGCTTGTGAATACATCTAAATTATTAAGCACACTCCAGGGAATGTTGTAGCTGACCTAGAAAACTGCAGTCTCAAGTGATGCAATCACAGATCTCAGAGCTGAGAGGAGTGAGAGATCAATTAAAATCGAGCACTTCTTGTGGGTGAGAAAACTGATGTGTAGAGAGAGTTTTTCCATGGTTAGCATAAGTAACAAAATGAGAATGCGTGACTTGTTTTTCAGCCAGGTCCTTGCCAGCTAACCACTGCACTCCTACTGAACATACCACTAAAATCTTAAGCTAGGAAGGGAAGTGGGCATTGACACCTGTTGCCATTCCATATCATCAGTTGAAATTGTCAAGTAATGTTAGAATTCAATTTAAATACTTAATATTAGGAAGCCATTTCTGCCTTGAGCCCAGTTCCTCATTCTCTAATTCAAAAGAGATGCTGGGTTGTTGCTTTGTCTTGGCTTCAGAGCAACTTCACCCTAATCTGTTTTGTTAGGTGTTAGAGTGTTCTCCTGGGTTTCAAGAAAATATTGGTCATTAATAAAATATAGATTTTTAGAAACACATGTACATTTCAGTAATTTCTACAGTTTGTCTCTGATTAATAATACTGTTTTTATAATTAATAAAAGAAATTATCAACAAGTAACGGTGCTATAAGATTTCTTCCTGTGCTTCTGAAACTTACAATCGCAACATGCTCAAGTTTGGTTTTCCAAGTCTGTTTCCGATTTTAACCCCCATGTAAAGAGTGACTCACAGGCACATTTTTTTTTCTTCCAAAAGCAAAACAAACAAACAAAAAAACTATTATCATTTTTTTTTATTAGAGCCTTAGGATGCAATGGATGAGCTGATTTTAGATCACACAAAGATTAAAGTCACATTAAAATCACACTAGCTTGAAAATCTAACTCACCAGAAGGTTGTCAGCGTTTCAAGACGATGCTTTTTCCTTTGAGTAGTAATAGTGAGTGCCATTTAAACCTAAACTTTCACTAAGCGATTCTGCAGATTGAGTCAATGTTCTTCAACTCCTCCCCTTTCTAAAATTCTTCCTTTTATGTCTAGTAAGTTATACTTCCTGGGGAGGCAGTAATGCCAAATCAGTGTTTCCCTTCTTTCCTTTTTTGTAATAGTCTGAGAAAAGGATTCTATCTGAAGGATACCACCTGATGGGTTTTCATGTATTCATCAATGCACTTGTCACTCTCAATACGTTGTCACTTGAATAATTTTTCCATCCAGCACCATTATTTTTATTGATATGATCGATATATAACATTGCATAAGAGGTACTACATGTTGATTCAATTTACTTATTTCTATATCACAAAATAATTTCCACCATAGTGTTAGCTAACTCCCCCATCACATCAGATAATTATTTCTGCTATGATAAAAATAACAATATAACCCCTATAAGGTATTTTGTTGTTTTTGATGCTTTTGTGAATGCTATAGTTTTTTCCCTCAGATATTTTGTTGCTACAGTATAACAGCAACATACAGTATGCAAAAGATTTTTGTATATTGATTTGTATCCTGCAACTTTGCTGAATTCATGTTTTAGTTTTAATTATCTTTTTGGTAGAATCTTTAGGATTTTCTATACATAATAGCATGGCATTGACAAATAAGACAATTTTGCTTGTTCCTTTCTAATTTGGATGTCTTTTATTTCCTCTTTGAGTTGTACCCATACAGGCTGAGGAATCTGGCTGCTGGCCTTACTCTACTTTTCCTGGTGAGGGGAACTTTTAGCTGTGAAGTTCCTCTTGGTTATAAGTGATGCCAGTGTGTTGAATGAAATGATGCAGGCAAAATGAATCTTCCTTCTCTTTGGTATAATAATTCGCAGGTTTTCCCTAGTGTGCAATCAAAGTTTCTTAAGTGAACTCCAGAGCTTTCCTGGAGCTGCTTTTGTTCATGGACAATGCCTTATTGTGGGGATATGGAATTTGGGTTCTCCTACTCCACCATTATGGTGATATCACCTTATACTATTACTGTCTGTTTGGATAACATTAACTTCTATTTTAATTGATTAAAATGAGTTTAAATAAGATCCAAAAAATATCTTGACAAAAATGTTGTTCCCTTGCTAGTATTATCTGTGATCATTGTAAAAGACACCGCTCTGTCTTTTCTAAATCCAACTCTTAACTCATTCTATTACATCCCATTTTGTCCAGTTTAACTTATATGACACATAGTTTTTGTGCCAATAAGCCAAGACTCTTTTGCCCTGTGTTCTCTTTTCTTACCAATTGTCAGGCAAAACACACTATGATTGCAGTCAAATATCTACTTTCTGCTCCTAAGGGGTTAAGAACTGCTGGAAAGATTCCATAATAGGACAACCTAGCTCTACCACAAATTTACAATCCCAACATTAAGTGAGTTCTCAACGTTACCAGACAATCCTCTATCACTACACCACATTCTCACTCTTAGCAGTGTCTATCACTAACCCTTTCCACTGTTCCAAATTTCCAGCTCTCAGCAGTGATAGTACTTTATTGTTTTGCTATTTAGAGAGATAGTAATGGCTTTGAGAGAATAGTGTAGTAATAGTACAATAGTATAATAAACACATGCATAATTTTTACTACATGCCAGGTACTTGTCTTTAAGTGTGCATATATTAACTAGTTCAATCATTTTAACCCCTATAAAGTATTTTGTTGTTTTTGATGCTTTTGCAAAAGATATAGTTTTTCCCCCCAGATATTTTTATCACCATTTCATAGAGGAGAAAACTGATACATAGAAGGTTTAAATAACTTGCCTATATTCACACCACTAGCAGTGGCAGATTTGGGTCCTTAATCAGGTACCTGGGATTCTAATTTGGGTCTCCATCTTTGACCACTTTTCATACTACCTCCTCCTCAATTGCCTTTATCTCATAATGAAGACAATCGCCCTCTTCATATCCTGGGCTTTTCCTTTCTATTTCCTGTGCTCAGGGAATTCTTCTCAACTACATTGCATTATTTGTTAACTCTCCCTATTTTGTATAAATTTACCCTCTTCTCATTCCATTAGTTCTTTTTTTCTAGCTGTCCAGCCACACACATTCTTTGGAAGGATTTTCTCTACCATTGTCTCTTACCCACTGCAATAGGCAACATCTACGATAACTGTCAAGATAACTGCCTCCAGGTAATCTGTGCTTTTGTTATCTCCCACTTTTTGTGTAGCCTGGATTTAGTGCCTAATCCAGGCACTAAATGATGATAGATGATGATGATGGCAAAAATGATGGGTATACTTCTGATGTTAGGTTCCAAAAACAATGTGGGATTCCGTTTTGCTTTCACTCTCTTGTTCTATTTTCCCACTGATGAACGTCAGTTGCCATATTGTGAGTTGCCCTACAGAGAGAACCAAGTGCTAAAGGAGCAGAGGAAGACTTTTGACCGCAAGCCAGTTAAGATTCCCATTAAAGAGCCCTGGAGGATCTGAAGCCTGCTAATGACTATGTGAGCCTGGAAGCAGGTCTTCCTCTAGTCAGACCTTTAGATGGCCTGCAACTATGCGTAACACCTAGATGACAGCCTTATGAGAGAGCTAGAGCCACACAACCCAAATAAGCTATACCCAAGTTTCTGAATCAAGGATCAGTGCAATTAATAGGTGTTTGTTATTTGAAGTCATGATATTTTGGGATCATTACATGTGCAATTATAAATAACTAATACGTCTACTAACTTGTCTATCCATGGGAGTCTGGCTTCTTTCAAATCACTTCATATGGTAGTAAGAGTGATATTTTCATAACAACCATCAGCCTGTTTTCCATTTGAACTCTTCAATAGCTTCCCATTCATTTCAGAATAATTGCTTAACATGGTAAACAAAGCTCTGCATGTCTGGCTCCTCTCCATGTCCCCAGTGCCATCTCACACTCAGCTTTGTTTTCTGCTCAACTATAATGAAATTCTTTAGTCCCTTTTTACTCACAATGCTGCATCTCACTACAGACCCTTTGTATGTGCTGTTTCTTCTGTCTAACATGTTTGTCTCTCCTTTTCTTACATAGTTAACATAGAGTCCTCCTTGAGATTTCAATACAAAACTTCACTTTTCTTCATGAAGTTCACCTCTCTCAAGATCTCTCCTTTGTAACGTTTGCCCAGGAACGTTTTTATGTAAGATCCCATAAAAATGCCTTTTCTTTTCCTATAGTCAAGTTGCACAGTTGCAAGCATCTTGACTGGTTTCCATTAATGTGGCATCGACCAGGCCTGATCCAATATTTGGAACATTGTCTAGGTAGACAGAAACATTTGTTAAACAAATAATGAAAATGTCAAATAATATTTTTTCTTTTCCTTTTTCATAGGTTCTAAAATCAACAAATTTTCTTAATACTAGGCAAATTTAGTTATGTGATGTTATTGCCTCCTGCAAGTAGATCTTTCTGCCATGTATTTATGAAACTGAGTTATCTTTTTTACAAGACCTAGTAGGGAAATACTATGGAAAACAACATTTCTAAATTTCTGATGCCATATAACACTTCAGGATTCAAGGCAAAATCATAATAGACTAAAATGATAAGACTTGGCATCTAATATGGAATTTGACTTACTCAAAACAGTTACCAAACCATTAATGTTGCTAAAGCTTCTTTAATTGAAAATAGCACTTTTTTTATTCTTAGCAAATCTAGATTACACAGCTGGGTGCCAGATGTATATGTGTCATAGTCTTATAGGGGAGCAAGAGCATGTTGACTCTGATCACATGTTTTTAAGTAGAAGGATTTTCTTCTATTAGATAGCATTATGCCTTCCATCTAGATGTCATGACAAATCGGCACTGCCCACATGTCATATTTTGTGTACGTAATATGCAATGTCTTTGATACATTTTTCTTGCCATTCTTGTGAACCTGGATTTGGGTGATTATCCCGCCTGCATATTAAATGAAATATTTATTCAGAATTGTAGAGGGATTCTCATCATATTTATTGACTTGATAGTAGTTAACTAAAAGCTTTATTTAATGTGTGTATTTTTCAATGCTGGCTTCCTTTCCTATCTGTGTAGCTGTTTCCACATGAATATAAATGAAGCTATATGTGAATTTTAAGTAAATTATTTATACTGGGCATTATTCAGTTAATCTAATGGAATAATATTTGATATTTCCATATAACAATAGACATTCATACACATTAATAGGGAGCTAAAGGAAATAGAACTGAGGGGAACTGGATAGATATGCTTATTATAAGGGACATAGACTTTTTAACTTGCTGATTGTGAGGGTGATGTTGCTAAGCCTTTTGACCTTTAATAGAGAAGTTGTAAATCTGGATCTTAGGTTAGATATCCCAATATTAACATTTATTTATTTATTTTTAATTTTTATTTTTTAAAGATTTATTTTTTATTTATATAAGCACTGGGTACTGTCAGAAGCACGGGAGGGTGAGAGAATTCACCAGAGCCAGAGCAGGGAGCAGAGCCAGCAGAAGGACTGAAGTACACTGCTGAGGGGAGCAGCGGGCGGCAGGAGAGGTCTGCGCGCCATGTGGGACCCTCCTCCTGTGGCCGGGGAGCAGTTGGGAATTGAACCGGCGCTGCAGAGGCTGCGGGCAGCCTCCAACCCAGCGCTCAACTGCTGTGCCACTGGGGAGGCCCAAGATAATTTTTTAAAAAGTAACAAAATGATTCATATAAATCTTTGGGTTTTATATGAGTCAATGACCCCTTTAAACATTTGGGTACTGTGACAACATTGTATATGGGAAAACACTGGATTTTGGAGAGAGTCAGACAGTGTTTGAATCCTGATGCAGATAGTTTCTTACATACTGAACAATTCTTTTAGCTTTTTTGAAACTTTATCTCCTAACATTTGGAATGAAGATATTATAGTGATTCTAATATCTGTAATATAAGTAAATGATCAATAAATAGCAGTTTTATTACTAGAACTTTCAAAATTAAACTTTCTTCCTATTTTTAAGCAATTTCTAATCTTTAATTGCTTGAACCAAGCAAACTTT